AAAAGTTATGAGTATTTTCAGAAATCAAAAGTTTCTCTAAACACTAATGAGCCAAATTTCAGTGCTTGTTACAGGTTGTAATTGGATGATTGTGAAGGTTGATTGTTAGTACACTTATCAATATGGATTGTAAAAATACGGAAAAACATGCGGAGTGAAGTTCTCAACGCAGGGAACAAGATGCATATTTTTATTCATTTTTTGCTCTCCTCCTGGCCTCTCAATATTTTTGTGTATCAATAATTTAATTTTCTGCCCAGAAAATATTATCTTTCTTGTAGTGTATCAAGCTAAACATTTGCAAGGAAAACAAAACTTGACTTTTGTATGTATTTGTCTTTATTTTGGCAATTGACATCTGGCTGCTCTATTTCTTTTCAATGAAATTTCAAACAAGATCATCTTAGATTTCTCATAATCTTGTGTTCCATCAGCACACAAAGTTACAATACCAAAACCAATCAAAGAAGAAATATATACAAAATGTGGTAACTATATAAACAATGTTGTTGGGTCAATAGCAGCGTTGATATCCACCAAATCAATGCTATGTACAAGCCCCGAAATGCTATCATCATCATTACCATCTAAACTACTGGCATCACTTTCATCATCATCAATAAGCACACTCTCTGGTTCTTCCATCGGATTCACAGTGACCATTGGCGTGTCTAAGTCACCAGGAATCATGGACATCTTTCCTTCTTCATGGAGAGTTGTGATATGCTGTAGCTGATGGTTCCATGTTTGTAAGAGTTCTAAATCACCAGCTTGGCTTTGGGTTTGATAAAATAAATTCATTAGATCTTTGTGCCATGTGAGCTGTAAGTCTGTGATTTTTAAAAACTGATCCTTGATGACTACTGTAGCAGCGTTCTGACGATCCTCTGGAGGTAGATATGAAAGAGTTGGGTGAGAGATGAGAGGTGTTACTAAGATGGGATCAGAATCGATTGCTGATGATAGAGAGATTAGCTGTGTCCAGATGTGATTGTGGCTGGTAGCAACCCTGTGCCAGCAACGCAACGCGCCGCAGCACACCCATTTTTTGATGCGTTGCTCCGCAACACGCAACACCAACAAGCAGCAGACGCTGCGTTGCGGGAAGTACCGCAACAACAAAAGTCAAGGCTAGGCTGCGCGGCGCCTCGACAGTTGCGCAACGCAACAGGCGCAACAGCCCCAAAAAAACGGCAATTTGTAAGTTTTTGAGGGCAGCAACGCAACAAACGTTGTTGCGGCCCAAAAAAAACACCAATCTGAGTGATCTTGTTGCGCTGCGGGTCAGGCCGCAACCTAAAAATTTATTCTACGGTGCGGTGCGGTCAGAAAAACCGCAACGCAACCGCAGCGCAGCACGCAACACCTGCGTTGCTGGCCCAGGGTTGCTGGTAGTTGCCCAACGCATAGTCCGTCGGACTTCCCAGCCAAGCCGTCTGAGCTCCTCGTTTGCTCGATCCACGTATGCAATCTGCCGCATTCCATCTCTTGTCTTGGGATCAACTGCCCAAGGAGCTTCGATTTTGGTGAAAAGGGAGTCGTTCCAGAAGGGGTGGTCTGCTTTTATATCTTTTAGTTCGAGATAATCAATGTCTACAGGGAGTTGACGGTCTGGATACTGTGTGTGATATTGTGCCCGACGAGTGCAATAGGTGTCAACAATTTTTTTAAGCTGGATTACATGCTTTCGAAGCGCAGTGAGAAGATTTGTCTTGCCCTTATGACCTACATTCAAAGTGGAAAGAATATCAGTAAGCTTCCATCAAACTGGGTCTGAAGTTAGACTGACCTAGATTTGATTCATGACCATCTGAGCGACTCTGTTGAAGAGGTCGTTTTTCTTCACATATGGCAATGTACTTCAGGCCAACTTCGTTCTTGCTGTACCAAAGCATTAAGAAAGCTTCTTGCTCGTCATCTAAGGCTAAGACATCGGTAGTTCCTACTTTTGCAGCCTGCTTGGCAATCTTTTCTTGGAGTTCACTTGTTGTTCGAAGTCGGACAATAGCTTGTTCAGGTGTAAGATTGGGCCGCGACCTGTGTAAAACTGATGTTAATGATTGATTATTATTATTATGTATCAAATGAAAATCTACATCCTCTTACCAATTGGTGTTCAGCTCATCTTGTAATGATAATAATCGACCCAGTTCCAACTTTTGTTTCAGCAAAACGGCCTCCTTACTTGCATATGCTTCACGCTCGGCAGCCCATTGCCCACGGAAAAACTCATGTGAATACTTTTCGCCAGGTAGGTATGGGTTGGGCATTGCGCAGAGTGATGTCACTGCATCTTGAGCTTCTTCCAAGACCTTCACCGCATTCAAAAATCGTCTTCTGAGCCACAGACCTACGAAAGTAAGCACATATTGACTTTAGTATGTATACACATGATATCTTGAGAAGAACTAACTCACCAGATCCTTCGTTGACCTAGGAAGCATAGAAAAGTGTACGCCAATGAATTGCCAGTAGTCGATGAAGCCGAGTGGATATACGAAGGGGAGCTACAAGCGCCGATAAAAAAGACCAGAGCCTCTCAAGGCCCTCACCATCTGAAAGCCCCCAATATTCGTTGAATCGAGGGTGGTATTTGAGCTGACAGGCCCATTGATGTACATATGCATGGAAAACCGAAGTCCCAAACATCATCTTGTAATCATCAGGAAAGAGCCCACACTGCGTAAGAGCTCAATCACATGTCAATAACAAACATCTGTTGAGGTGTATGAATTATGCAACTTACCTTTTCTATATGTACATCTAAGTGACAACCAATGTCGTAGAGTACAGCTATGAACTTGTCAGGGTGTAATTCTTGAAGTTGTTTGAGAATTGCAACAGGATAATATAATCTAAATTTGAAATACATATGTTAGGGCTTATTGTTTTCTTCTTTCTTGATAAGTACATAGAATGAAAGTTACTTTTCACCGCTCTGATAAATATTGGCAAAGTACAGGGGTACATCGTGACGACAAGCGCCTGCAAACAAACCTGTATAATCGCATCTGTCCCATGATGTACTATTGCGAACATCATTGGCAGCGGTGTGTGAGTCGGAACAGGAGGTCTAAAATCAAATGGTATCATCATTAGTGATTGTTTGACCTGAGATGAAACAGATTAAGATTATGTACCTTGATGTGATTGGCTTGGGCATTGGTTTTGTTACAAGCAACAACTTCTTTTTCAAGCTTGCTAGGTTTGATGAAGGAACTCGGGTATTGATCTTCTTGAGGTGAATCCTTGCTGGCATGAGATTGGTGGCGGTGCTGGAAGTTTCCGTCCATTGCAATGATGAAGTCGGGTTCGTTGGGAGACGACTTGATTTCCCCCTCTGCTGGCCCAAAACAACGAGAACATTGAGCTGCAGAGAGATCAATTGGGGTGAGTCCAAGGCCTTCTTCATACAGAGCTTGTTGACCAAGAAGAATCCGACAATAGATGTCGATTGTCTGAGTGAAGGGATGTCTCAGACTACGATTGAGATTCTTCTTGTAAGCTGGTTTTGCTTTGTATTGTTGAGGTGTCAATCGGACCGGGCACAGTATATCTAGAAATGCCATAAGTGCATCAATAAATCCTGAAGTCGATATTGATGTGTGATTCCAGAAGTGATGGTGAAGTTGTACAAGTCGGATTGAAAAGGCAGTGCGAGGAAATTGAGGTGATCCACCGATGTAACCAACATAAAGGAGTCTGATGACATCCGGTACACAGCCACAGAATGTCACACTGTGTTTGCTGGTGAGACCTATGAGAGAGACTTTGGTCAACAATTGGAAAGAAAAGTATAAATTAAAAAAATGAACATACTGAGAAGGTCGATGAAGTCAACACGCCGTCTTCGAAGCTTGTCAGGTGGACATCTACATTTAAGCCCATTGGAGAGATATGAGTGAAATGTTGGCTGATTGGTCCAATTGTGTGTATGATGTCGAAGGTGGAGATAGGTGGCAGTGAGTTGTGCTTCGAGAGCCTTCCACTTGCTTTGGTTCCTGGCTCGGGCTTCAGCACGTCGAAGTGATCTTTGATGGCGAGCATAATTATCTCCTGAAGAGTCCACTTCAATTTCAATGCTATTGATACCAACATCCGGTCCATAATTATCAATATTCTCCCAATTATCAACGTCATCGTTGTCATATGAATCGGGTGGAGGAGTCTGCTGCCTTTCAAGAAAACCAAGCTGTTGACTGATCCTCAACGCTTTCTCACGGGTCAGACCTGGTGGTGATGGTGATCGTCTTCGTTGTCGAGATTGTCCGTTACCAAATAGATTGGCATAATGTCCAGATTCCTCATCTAGCTTCCGACGCGGCATGCTGAGGTGAGATGCTGAGAGTGTGATGAAGTGCTGATGATGTGGATAAGTTGATGATCGGTGGTGATGAGGTGAGTCGAAGGTCGATTTCCATCAAAACCAGTGAGTTTACACACCAGTTGTAAATACTCACTGGTTCACAAGCTGAGCTAATCTCTGCACCAGTCAGAGGTTAAGCCAGACTTGCTGATGTAATGATCGTCTTGATGCTGTTATATCGGTTTCTGTGATGATGATCGGTGAAGGTCGGTGGTGGTTGGTGGTGGCTAAGTTTCCGTGGTGGTGAGGTGAGTCAAAGTTATTGAGGGATCAATCGGTCGGTGACTCGGTACTTGTCTCTTACTGATTGAGACCAACATGTGATGTTTACATACCGTAGGGCTTCTTAAGCCTTAAACGGCTAAGGGCCCGTTTGGCTGGAACCCAAAAACAGTTTTTGGCCAAAAACCCCACCAAAGCCAAAAACCGTTTTTGGGTCAAAACAGTTTTTGGTTTTTTTGAAAAATGCCGGTGTTCGGCAACTTTGTTTGATCAAATACAAAAACCGTATTTGATCAAAAATTCATCGCTTTTGAAAAACAGCCTCAAGGCTGTTTTTCAGATCAAAAAGTCTTTTTGCCCCTCACCCTCCCTCACCTCCATCGATCACCTTCAACTCATCTCTATCTCTCCACATGACAACACCCTTTCATTTCCTTCACACACCCCTCTCCGTTACTCAGCTTTCTTTTCTATTGTTCTCGTTTATTGACTCTATCATCATTTCAACAACTACTGTCGTCTTTTCATCGACTATTGTTGTCGTTGTTTACCAACTCTTGTCATCGTTCTTTATCAACTCTCTCGTTGTCTTTTTATCAATCCTTTTGTCATCTTTTTAAAAAGTCTATTGTTGTCTTTTATAATACAATAGAAGCAAATGAAAGACTGGGTCACTGTGACAGATGTACCTTTGCCAAAAGCTGAATACACACTAGATACAAGTTGCTCTATCTTTCAGCATCTCGACGGAGTTCAGATTATTTGTACAGAAAGCTCAAGTCTCCCTCATCATCTGCATAGGCCTATGGAGGTTGTCCAGGTGCAACTGTGATGGATGGATGGATCAATTTGAAAATGATTCAATCAAAAAAGTCTTGTCATTTCATCTTGAACAAACAGTCAAAAGGTGATCAATGGTCAACAATGATCATTTTGATCTTTTGTTGACCTTTTTGGTCGACTGTTTGGTAATCTAAAAAGGCCGAAAAACGAAATCTCTATCCGCCCCTCAAAAACTATTTTTCAGGGGCGGATAGAGATTTCGTTTTTGTGTAACAATTTTTGGCTAAATCAGCCGAACGGGCCCTAAGTTGTATGCTTGAATTTCAAAAAAATCTCGAAGTTGGTGTAAAGTTGGTCACTGAGACAGCGAGACGAGTGAGATGATTCGAGATGAGGAGAAGGGCACTGGCAGCGGCTGTATGGTACACTTTTATGGTACGCTTCAAGTGGTTCAATAGGGTACCCCGAGGTGGAATATTCACCCATCATGTTGGAATTTTTGACACGATGTCTTTCACTTTTCACTGATCTGAGTAAGGCTCCTCTTACGGAAACCAACAAGAATGCTGTCAAGCGTCAAGTGGTCAAAAAGTCTGCTATCAATTTCAAAAACCCGGTCAACAAGCTTGCAAATCACTTTTTGGATCATTCACAGGTCATTTTAGGATCAGATTTATTCTTTGGAACTGTACCTTTGAAGAACGGACGAGCCAATCAGATCAAAATATAATTGTTCAGTAAACTTATCTATACCTTTGATTGGATTCATGTATCATCAGGGTCATTTCCGACATTTCTAATCAAAAAGACCTTGGTCATCATTCAATCAATTATTGGGTCCACTTCACCACAAAGTACAGACTCTGATTCCAAGCCTGCGGACAATGATCAATCAAAATACATCACACCCGTCACATTCTTGTATAGTTGTTGGCTCATCTGCTCGAATTACTTCAAATAGTAACCACCTCATTCTTTTGAAAATTCATGTATCAATTCATGGCGAGCACTCAAGTTTGGATTATAAGAGTATCCAGATGAAGCTAATTTACTTCTTTCTCGCAAGAAGTAAACTTCAATAAATACTGAAGCTACTTGGTTTGCAAAATATTTACAATCAACTCGAGATGAAATATCATCCATCTCCATTGGCAACTGACGGGTTATCTTATGAGTTGTCAAGTATCATCATTACAAGTTAAAATCACAACATATGAACACACCACCTTTCGATTCAAGTTATATTCATCATCTTACATTGTTCGGAAGGTTAGTACTTTATCATTCTTATGATGTGCTGATCTATATCTAGCTACTTCAGTCAGATTCTAAGGCAACCAGAAAATTCAAAGATTTCAACTGGACGACACCATTTTACAAATCTTAATACACAGCTCATTAACCATCGATCAACTTTACCTAATAGAACAGGAGACTCATCCTCTTTCTTGTATTCGACCTACAATAAGTATTCCAATTTGATTCAATAAAAGAACACAGTCGTATTAGAAGAAACCAGAAGTCCGATAATGTCAATGCTGGTAAGAATGATAAAGAAGAAGACAGTGATCGATCGATTGCTAGCAATATCAGAATCTTTAATCGAAGTATGTAATACTATCATATCAATCACACATCCAACTTCTCTGCCAGCGTTCTCATACTCATCATGGAATCAAAATCAAAAGCAAACCAAACCAATCAAAATATCCACTTATTTCACATTCAAAATGATGAATCATACATTCTACCTATCATCCCACTTACACTCTACCCAGCTCACAACTTTGCCCAACTGATTACCCATTCAAAACCCAATCTCAACCAAACTCCTTTCTCTGAAAAATATAGTTTTGATACTTCTTATTATGAAAAAGTATGTCACGTTTTCTCATCAAATGGTAAAAACCTTCCAACTCACTCCAAACCGATCAGAATTGCAATTGGTCAAATCAATCTTTCAACTTTCGCGATATGGGAACCAATAGCTCTCATATCAATCCTGCTCCTTATTTTGATACACATCATTGTAGACGGAGGTGTGTACAGACACCTATGTTCTGATCACTTCACCAATTGATCAAACAAACACTGATTTTTCTGTTTGTTTCTTACCAGTGTTGGTCTTGCATCAACGGATCCTTGGAATGAGTTGATTCAAAGTGTTCACATCAAGCCAGAATTGGCTTTGATGGTCTTGAAGCAGGTTAGACTTACCTACCTTTCAGAGATCCTTACCAATTATTCCTGCATTTTGTTAATTATTCATGTTGACATGGCTTTCTAAGTCAGCCTCTCAAGTCCTATTGACCCAATTTCAATCAAAATGTTGAATTAAAAGATGTTTGTCAACTTATGTATTGGCTGTGTGATGAGGTGTGTAGCAATCAGGTCGTGCATCTTATGATATCATCAGTCTATTGGACTTCTTCTTCTTCTTCAATCATCCTCATTCTCCACCTTTGAAATTGAATTACATTCAACAACAACATCAACCACTTCTTCTTCATCAAGATTGGTCAATTCAGATTCAATTACCTTCATCTCAACTTCAAGGATCATCATCCACTACTCCTACCAATCAACTTCATCCTAATATGAATGATTGTTATATACCTTCAAACAAACCTAGATCTACATCTGCATCTTTCAATGAACATCCTAACACTCTCACTACATTGACTTCAAAAGACCAAATTCCAATTGAACTCAAACATTTTATAGAATTTTTGTCAAAGGTGTTGCATTGAACTCATGATTACATTTTCACTTTGAAATAATTGATCAAGATAATTTTTCTAAAGTCTTTGACTTTGTTTGAGATAATCAGACACACTTCCACAGATTGGGTTTCTATATTCCTCAACCAAGCCTTTTCAATAATTTGGGATTAACACAATGAGCAATTTGACAAATGAAAATCCCAACTGTATCCTCACTTGAAGTGAATTCAAATGAACACAATTTTATTTCAAGTTAATGATTGATGATCAATGATAAATTATCAAGCTCGCCTGTTTCAATAAATCACATTCATAGAATCAACACACAGTGATAGACAATTTGACCCTTCTCTCTTTTTGTACTCTACAATTCATTTCTTTATCATCTTTTTGTCAGCCAGAACACTATCATAGACTGTGATACATTGTAGATTCATCTTATTGTCATCATCATTTCTATCTTTCTGAAACATTTATCTTTAACATTGAGGTGTAATCAATGTCTTGCTGGCATACAATGATAGGTTCTTCAAAATAGAAATTGCAAAGAAGGTCTCAACAGCTGTCTCATGGCACCAATGATGGATCCTCAATCAAGAAGTTGGATGAACCAATACCTGCAAGCCTCTTTCATCCATTTTTCAGTTCTACTTTTTCATTTTCAGCATTTTTTTCAACTCTTGTTCATCTTCCCCAAAGCACTCCTCACAATTCCCAACTGCCAAGTCATCCAACATGCGTACTTGATAGATTTGTTGTCTCTTCAGAAGTCTTATGTTGTTCATGTCCAATCCCTCCTACGCTTTGATTTGTAAGTCAAATTTGGGCCACATATAATGGAGTAATCTATATGCTCTGCTTCCACAGCCTTGAAAGGGCCTTTTCACCTGCGAGGGACCAGGGCTGATGCTGGACAGTCTACGCATCGTGTGAGCTATACATTCCAAAGGGAAAGGTTTACAACAAAGTGTAGTCTTTTAAGTACTTGAGAGATCAAGCACATTGAGAAATACATTCCACCATGACTCAAATGTGCACCATTTACAGACATCATTTACACAGTGACTCATCACTACATTGGGGGTATTTAGAATGAACACTGATTTCCCTCTCTTACGGCAACACATCTCTCCTTGAGCATCAGCCAAATCAATTTCTCCATTTTCTGTTGCTTCATCATCTGATTATCAATCTTGATCTGATTTGTGAATTACATCTTGATTACACTTCTTGAGAATCACTTTAATCTTGACAAATACAAATCATCCAAAAGTTTGTGATAATTGATCCTCTTGAGTATCATTTTTTTCAGATTTTGGAGTGATTCAAGAACATAAGATTTCATTTGATGTCTAAAATGAGGAAATATTAACATGAAAGTTAATTAACATCACACTTTAAGTACTATTAACTTGTGCAGAGATTGTACAGCAAAAAGTAGAGATATCTGATCAGATCTCAAGTGAAGCAACAGGTTCTTTTCCCTCAATCTCAACACAATCATGTTTGAATTCATCATTGAATTGTAATTTCTCAGTTTGCTCTTTACAAGTAACCATCAAATTTCCATCATCACCAATAAAAAAAACAATAACAATAACGCACATTCCATTTCTGATGATTTGCAAAACTTTACTCAGTTTAATATATCTTTCGATTCATTCAAGTTCATGGTCAAACGTTTTCAATTTCTTTATCAAAGTTGTCCATCAGACTATGGTAGTCATGGATGAACTTGCTGTACCTGTATGTGGAATTCAATCACCCTGCTGGAAACCATTTGCTACACAGTTATCTTTGTCATCATCACACTTTGTATACTTTCCCTATCTTTATGTGATAGATTTTCTGAGTGAGCTATCTCCTGTGTTAATTGACCAGTTACAATCAAAGCTCCAAGTTATAAAGAACAAAGTTGAACTTTGATATCAATGTAAAGTCATCTTACCAATTTCCCCAAACACAATGTCCTCAATGGGTTACGTTTGAGCCATTATAGCCTCCACATTCTTTGCAAATGGACCACAGATGAGCCCTTTTTAGGAATGCGGCGCCCGCCGCCCAATATGGCTAGTTCATCCTTATTCACACAAGGTTTTGTCAGAGCGCTCTGATAGGGCCCTCACAGCAGTACGGGAAGCCTCAAAACACTGTAGAGCAGCTTCACATCAGATTGAAGAAGCTTCACAGCAGTGCGGAAAGCCTCAAAACACTGTAGAGCAGCTTCACATCAGATTGAAGGAGCTTCACAGCAGTGCGGGAATCCTCAAAACACTGTAGAGCAGCTTCACATCAGATTGAAGGAGCTTTACAGCAGTGCGCAAAGCCTCAAAACACTGTAGAGCAGCTTCACATCAGATTACAGGTGCTCACAGCAGTGCGGAAAGCCTCACAACACTGTAGAGCAGCTTCACATCAGATTGAAGAAGCTTCACAGAAGTGCGGGCAGCCTCAAAAAACTGTAGAGCAGCTTCACATCAGATTGAAGGAGCTTCACGGCAGTGCACAAAGCCTCAAAACACTGTATAGCAGCTTCACAGCAGGAAATACAACACCTCTCAAAGTGGCAAGTATTCAGCTTTGGATCAAGATTCACATGAAGTGACTTATATTAATAAACTGATAACACCTTAATCCAGGTCAATACCGTCATCTGAGGCAACATCTTCACTGTTGTTGACCTCTTCCAAAACATCCCCTTCACCGTTGTCTTCATCAAGATATTCATCAAGGTTGGCCAGATGTTGCTCAGCCAATTCTCCCTCGTCCATAGGCGTGGCCTCTACAATCTCCGCATGGGAACTTGCTTTCCACATCAACCTACTTCTCTCAACTAATCCTGCCCAACTTGTTGTCAACAAGGCTTCTTCTTGTTCCGTCATCTGAATATATTCAGCAGTACCTTCCAGGAGCTGAGGCATCCCACAGTTCCACGACATCCATAGGCGGGAGAAATTCTGACACAAATGGCCCACAATACCACGTAAGATATTTCTACTCTCATTCAATCAATCTGCAGGTCTTGCCTTGGTATATCCCACTAATTCTACCATCCATTTACTCAAATCATCATCTGGATCCTCATCTGACACACAAATAATCAGCTTCTTCATTCAATTGAAACATCCACTTATCAAACACTCACCTCCTATCCTAGTCTCAAGCAACTGGATCTTTGTGTCCATGTTCAATGCCCACTTTATTGACTGCCTGCACTCACGCCCTACACAACACAGCTCATCAAAAGCATGGATCTTATCACGATATGCCACAATGCCCTCTTTAGTCTTTTGATCCACAGCCCAGTCTTCTGTTGGATGGGTTACGTCACCCATATCCCAGAAAGGATCAAAGACTGGAAGTGCTTTGATGTTGTCAAAAGGAGGGCAATTAATAGGATGTGGAGACGGGAATACTTCATTAAATTCCGTAACCAGTATGTGGAATGTATTGTGTTTCTTTTTCAGAGTCGCTTGCTTGACTCTCAAATCCCGCTTTGTTTTTTGTTGAAGACGGGTTCCTTCATATGGTTGTAATATTGGCAATGTAACTAAAAAAATTGAAATGATGTGAAAGCTATCTACGCACCTTCTCTGCAATCACTGAGCTGTTGAATTTCCAACAAATCCACTTTGGCACCATACAATGTTGACTTTGCCACTCGGATCCGGATAAGTTTGGCGCCTTTTGGAGCTATACAATATTTTAAGATTCATATTGGAGTGATACTTAAATCATCAGCAAAAGAAACTTACTAGAAGACGGCATATCCCTGTAATGGTCTCCTCCTAGGTTTCCAACCAATTGATCAATCTCACCCTGTAGTATTCTCAATCTTACCGGCAGGTTACTGATCTTATCATTTTCAAGTGTAGTCCTATCTCTTCTGTGCTTAGCCCGCAAAAAACTGGAGTTCTTCCCTATATCATCCAAAACAAGGTTTACTATCAAATATCCTTGCAAACATAAAAAATATATCAAAAGTATGCTCAACTCGGACTCATGGTGGCTTTCTTCCAGGCTGGTCAGCTTATTCACTTTTTCCTCCAAACTTTGCAAATTATCGTGAACCATCACCTGCAACGGAGACCCCCGCTGTCTGTTCCATTGGGTCTCAAAATATTGGTCAGAGTAAGCAGGATTGGTCTTCAAGTGATTCAACTTTTGGTTGCTTTGATAATATAGTTGACGGCTTGTTGACAAGCGTTTCAATAACCATTGAACTACACAAAATGTCATTTACTGTCATTTAGAATATACTGTGTATTTTGGAATCAAAAAATGTTTGACAAACCGGATGCAAATCTACGAGCCTCATTGTGGTGAGTTGCACACAGGTATAAAGCAACAAGCCTGTGAAGCTTTGTACAGTACCGCAAAGGGCCAACCAAGGATGACAGAGTGGACCATATTCTTTCGAGACCTTCACCATCTGACAGCCCCCAATCCGCATTCAATTGTGGGTTGTACCTTAATTGACATGACCACTGGTGTACGTATGAGTGGAAGACACTTGTTCCAAACTTCATTCGATCAATACAGCATTCAAAAAAGTTTCTCTGCATGGTAAGAAAATGTGTTTTCAGTGAACAAACTGTTTGTTCAGATAGAACAAAAGTGTACAACCTTTTTGATGCTCTTCTCTAGGTTACATCCAATGTCATATAGTACTCCAAACAAGGTGGAAGTCTGATCATTGTCAACAGTTCTCTTGAGAATCCAGTCGAGCATTGCAAGAGGGTATTCGCCCCTGTGGGTACAGAAGTAAATGAGTATGTTAAAAATATACGAGATGTCTGAGCCACACACCGCTCGCCTGTCTGTACAATATTGATCAACTTAAGCAGATGATCATGGCGGCATGCCATACCCATCAGACCTGTTTCATCAAACCCCTTCCAAGTCTGTCTACCTCGTACATCATTGGCTGCTGTGTGCTGGCTAGTACATGGGTCCTGAGGCAACATTAGAAAAATGTCAATAAATATATATTTTAGATGCATAGAAGTTTCAATTGTCTTACAATGACTTCAGGTTTCTGTTGACGATTGTTACGCCCTTTTTGCCCCAATTGCGACTCCCAAACCTTGACAAGCTCTGGTGAAATGAAAAGAGAGGGTAAAAGTCCGCTCTCACCTCGCCAAGAAGCACTTGCAGCCATGTGTTGCCTGTGCTGGAAATTACCATCTAAGCATATGATATAGTTGTGCTCTTCTGCTCGCTTTCCTGGAACAACCGGTCCAAAGCAAGGCGGGCAGTCTGATGCAAGTTGATCAATCATTCAAGTTAAAGGTAAACCGTGTTCGCCGGCAAAACCTGATTAAACTCCCAATCCCTACTACCAATTTGCAGGTTTACACGTTCACCAGATTTAAATCTGAATTCCACGCGCCTCACCCCAAATCTGTTTGTCATTCCCCTCATCAGACTGATTCAACTACCAATCCATTTAAACAGATTCATCAAACTTTCATCAGAACAAATCAACTTAAACTGCCAACTCGAGCTCCAATGAGCTTCATTCAATCACATTGAACATAAAATCAACCAAATTCTAAAACCAATCCCAAACCAAATTAATCACGTTTATCACAATCAAGTAACCAAAGTGCAAGCTCACTTCGAAGCAAGAGAATTTTCCATCAATCAGGATTTATACGAACGATTTGATTAGATAGTTGATTAATATACAAACAAGAAAGTCAAGTGAATTTTCAAAAACATTAGATTCTCATTGAATGCTTGATAATGAAGGGCTCTATTTGTAGTTTTGTGGAAGTTGTTGGAATGGACTGATGCACTTTGCTTTGATGGTTTGAACTTTTTAGGGAAACCAATTGAATCAGTTGATGGCTTTTTGATCTCTATCCTTTTGCTGCTCATGATGTCATATTCCAAACTCTTGGATGACATCATCTTGCAATTCTCTGTTTACCGATTAAGAGTGAGGTAGTCTATTTCCCTCTTCACCATCATCATCGTCCCTCCAAGTAGCTCAGAGTTTTAATTTCGAAGTCAATCTTTTATCATTTTCACTTCAAAGCAAACTACCTGCCGTGACGAGATACTTAAAGTAACGAAGACAGGTTTCAACCTGTTTCAACTCAATGGAAGGAGATATAAAATGCTGAGCAACAATGGTGATATCTATAAACAATCTAAACTCGCTTCATTCTGAATGCCTCCTGACAAAAACCAATTGCTTGATTGAAGAACAACATGATCAAGATTGATAACGGTGAGTAAAGTCGAGTTTTTTGCATTTTTAGAATTTGTAACCTTGCTTAGCAACCCCGCACACTATTTGTCTATCTTCTGAAGTCATTGTATTTGAAGATGCAGAGCACAAAGCACTCTCAGCAAAAGAAACATCAGGAAATGGAATATCCTGAAGATCCAAATCAACTTCAACATCTAGGTCGTGATCGTTCAATTGCTAAAGCTCCACTTTTGAATTTACCATTACCATATGCATCAGATGAAAAAGTAAGTTAAAACAACCATAATTTCAATTCAACACTTTTTTCGTTTTTACTGAATTTTGTGATTTATTTTTAGTATTGGGATTTCAGATTACCTTATTTTCTGGAACTGGATTCGCAAGCATTTACAGATCAAAAGTTCTTAAATGAAGGTAAATGTATTGATGAAGAAGAAGGAGATGATAAAGTAGCGAACAAATTGAAATCGACTTAAGTGGTTACCGAGCGGGCAACTGTAGCCAAAAGAATATCAAGCAAGGTTCGCATCCTAGACCTCGAACAGAGCAGGGTCAAGGAATGCATCGATTGGGTTCAAGCTGTTACAGAACTTAAAAACGTCTTGATCAACACATTTCAAGCAATCAAAAAAGATGATTGGGAAGCTGCTACACGACGTATCCAACGTGCCAATGGAAACAATCCAGAATTGACTCGTAGTCAATTTGAAGAAGCAGTGGTGGGTGATTTTATAGAGTCTTTTGGATTTCTTTGATGAAGACGAAATGAATGCCCCTTACATATATGTTTACTAGCACCTTAGCGGCGGGCGCCGCCCTTTCCCTTTTGTCTTGTGACTTGGCAGATGTGACCAATATGGTTCAACTCACTCAAAAATGATTTCCAGTCTCAAAATTTTTCACTACTTGACATTTACTCATTTATTCCTATTGGTGATTGTCAATAACTTAACAGCAATTTACAACAAGAGGTTTGATACACTCATGAAACATCTCCATTTGGCATTTACTTCTTGAATTCAATTGAGCATTTGATTTTTTTGACAGTGCTTACATTACATGTGATGATGAAGTGACTGAGAGAAACCATTGGTCACCTTGATTTCAGTAAGAAATCTATCTACATTTGGGCTTTGTGAAAGAAAACCCATGAAAAAAAATAAAGATCAAACTTCCAAATTCATCTTGAGCTCAGAATCAGATAAATGAGAGCAAGACCATCAAAATTTCAAAGATACCATTTCAAATCATAAATCTCACACTTCTCCTGTAACCAGATTAAAACATTTATAAATGTAGAAGCTTAGTAAATCTTGAAGTTCAATGCAATTGATGGACATTGGTAAATTGAGTTGATCAGGTCACCAATCAATGATCATACATAAAAGAGCCTTCCAATATTTGGCGCACAGAAGGTATATTTTTGACAACCTTGGAAAGGTACCCTGTCTGGTTATCAATGAGTTTAACAATAAGTGATAGAGGTTAGATCAAATTGTGACCTTCAACACTTATCAGCTTACAGCTGGTCTCACGTGGACACAACCTTCAGACCCTTAACACATTTTTTACTCAATAAATCAAATGTCGCGGCGGAATTCCAACTACAAGCTCCCCAGCCGTTGGGTGATTCCTTGACCGAGGCAGATAGGGATGAAGATTTGAAGGTTTTAGAAAGCAACTCAATCCCCAAGCCAATTTTTGATGCCATAAAGGCACAGATGGTGCATGGTACACCTATAGGATTTGTTGTTGCAAATGAAGGTTTGGTAAGTGCTATCACAAGAAGAGCATCTTCTGGATTCTGGATACTACAGCATGATCTGCAAGATTTGATCCTACACCTGAAAGGTTCAGTATTATTGGAATATCAATTCTACCCAACACTGATGGCTTACCCATACCACTTTGCTCCAAGATGGCAGGTGTACCAAATTGACCAGCACTTGAGATGCTCTTCACGGGCCAGGCCTGTTCTTTTCACACCTCAAGATGAGTATTTTACACTTTGAACAGCTTCCTCTTTATCTGACTTTAGGCCAAGAGACACTCTACTTCGGAACCTGCCCCAACAATCAAATTTGAGCACAAAGCAATTGGGAAATCTGTAAACAAAGCTATCAAAGACAAAATAACCATGCACTGACTCCCATTTGAAGATCATGTCTATATCTGTTTGCACCGGTGCTGAAAACATCAATTCTTCAAACTCCAGTGCGGGAACCGCTCAATCAAGAACTACCAAGGGAGGCCAAGTACAACTATCAAGCTAAATACTGCCTCCTTTTCACATTGTTGCATTAACTAACAAATATGTGGACAAACAATATGATTGTAGGAATGAGTGTTGGAAATTATTTAGAATCAATCCGAGCATCAGTTACAGTAATTGAAATATGGGAAGAAGTTGGATTGGACTTGGATGTAGTATAAAAGTTAATTTGAGTTTCAAATAATTCAAAAAATCAACTTTCTGATGAAGAGACAATAATCAATTCTACTAAAATCTTTGATAGATTGAGAGATGTAATGAGTAGAATTGCTGTAATTGAACATTCAAAAGTTTCTACGGTTTGGGAATTGATGTCAAACTTATGTGACTGTGTTCAAGATTATAAAAGCATGTCAGAACATCAACTTACAGCTTATCAATTGGGAGTTTTGCAGGTTATAGAACTATATGAACCACTAATTTAACATCTTGGAAAGCAGCAAGTGAGATTGTAGGAAGTCTGATTGATAGATTAGAAACCATTGGATTCAAGTTGAATGATAAGAATTCAATTCTAATGAGATAATTGATTATTGAGGATCCAAAGTAATAATTCTTGAGCAGTTTAAAAACCTTGAACGCAAGAAATGGTAAAAACTAATTGGATCTGATCATCTTCATTGTTACTATCATTTTTCAAATGATTTGAGATCTATCTTCATTACTATTCCATATCTAGTAGAGTGTCTCTCACACAAGGTGCTGTAGGCAACCTTGGTTTACTCCCTATCGGGAGGTTCTGAGTACTCCTACTCAGAGCCCAGTTTCTCTGGGCTGTTCTACCAACTACACGTAAGACCAGAGCCGTAAGACCGGTCCAGCATCCTACATGTCTGTGGTTTGGGGGTGGTCCCAAAGGCAGGTATGTGTAGGGGATTAGTTTTCCAGCATCCCCTACTCTTCCCTTTGGCCGAGAACAGCTCCCGAGAAGTGGACTTCTCAGCCCCGGGTGGCAGGCGGGTATTAAAAAGCTTTGAGATCTGAGAGTGAGATCTCCAGAGTGCGAATAGGCAGAGGAATTGTGTGGTGGGATGTGGAGATGAAAACTTTGTTCATCTCTGTCCACCACCCATTTCTCTCTCGGCTTGTGTGACATGTCTGCTCTACCTGTCACCTCTGAGCCTGATGCCTATTTGCGCCTGTCGCTTATCCACTCTACTGATATGGAATTACGTGTACCTCCGCAAGCTCTGGGAACACAAGCAATCCATATCTAGTAGAGTGTCTCTCACACAAGGTGCTGTAGGCAACCTTGGTTTACTCCCTATCGGGAGATTCTGAGTACTCCTACTCAGAGCCCAGTTTCTCTGGGCTGTTCTACCAACTACACGTAAGACCAGAGCCGTAAGACCGGTCCAGCATCCTACATGTCTGTGGTTTGGGGGTGGTCCCAAAGGCAGGTATGTGTAGGGGATTAGTTTTCCAGCATCCCCTACTCTGCCCTTTGGCTGAGACAGCTCCCGAGAAGTGGACTTCTCAGCCCCTAACTCACGGGAGGGTAGAGCCGTGAGCCGAGAAGTCGAAACTCCCCTAAACTCCCCTACCGTGCTGTCCTCTGATCCACCTCACCATCCATCCAATCATTCACTTTCCTGCTCAGGGGCTACCTACCTCTGCTAGGAATCTACCTGAGCCTCTCTTCTGAGCGGTAAGCTCGCACTGAGCAATCACCGGTAAGCCCTCACTGAGCATTCCGTTCATTCATCTCACTGGGGTCTATAATTAAAGTTCCACAATCTCGTGTGTATCCCATTGACCGCATACAGTATCACTAACTCAACTATGCAGATCCGCGAGTCTGAATGAACCTTACAGCCTCCCCCTCTGAACTCCCCTACTCCCCTCCATCTAACTTCAGTTCGTTCAGGATTCTTATCGTCTCCTTCATCTCTCTATCGTCATACTTCCTGAGGTAGATCTTGTAGGCATCCGACGCCCATCTACCAGCCGCTTTGACTTCCTCCCTTGTCGCTCCCAGGTTCCACCTCAACGACGCACCCCCAATCCTAAACGAGTGCCCGTACAGTAGCTGCTTCTTAGGCGATCGGTGTTTGTTTAGGATCTTCCTATACCTCTCGACCAGTCTCGACTTCCTGAACACCAGCCCCTTTTCTCCATACCCGTCTATCGCAAAGATCAAGTCTGTGTTCTTCCGAGGTCTGAACTCATAGAGAAGCCGTAACGCTCTAACCGGGTCGAGGCAGGAATTCTGATTTTGTAAATGTATGTATTGGACTTCACCAGGAGCGGCTGTCTTCGCCTCGTAGATCGCTATCCTCGCAAACGCATCGTTAGGACCCCATTCTACGTCTTCCCAAGTCGGGAGTCTCTTTTTCGGGTCCTCTGACACCAGCTCTCCCAGCCTCGCTGTACCCCAGAACGCGACCATTGCAATTGTCGCTGAAACTAGCTCTTGTTCGTTGCTCATATCTCCTTCCTCCACCAACTTAACCAGATCAGATATTAACACCGGTGGCCTTTTCTTCTCCACCTCCATGAATTTCAATTCCATCATTCTTGACGCCTTCATTAGTTTCTTGATCGATTCTTCGCAGTCGTGTGGGAAATCACACTTATGGAATATGTGCCACGCCCTTATCCCGGCCAGGTACGCTCTGATTGTGGATGTCCTGACCGACTCGTCGTGTGCCGCTAGTTGTTCGCCCTTCTTGGACGTCCAGACCACGAATTCAAGGAGGACAACTTTCGAGATCGGTAAGAGCAATTGTTTATCTATACCCTTCACCACTGAGAATCTGAATAACTTTACTATCGCCGAGTTGTAGTGTTTCAGAGTACCTTCCATCCAGGCTCCCCTCAGGAAGTGTCTCTGGATTTCATCGCATTCCGAGCTGTCTACTCCAAGCGCGTCCCCTTTGAACGCCCCAAACTGCTTTGTGGCCTTCTTCAGAGTCACCTCACGACTCGCACTAGGGACGGATTCCGGAGGTCGCGAAACGCTGATCGACTTCTTATTCATCAAGGCGGTTGACAGGTAGAGGTATAGAAACTTGTGAAAGAAGTGGGCGTAGATCTCTAGGTACAACAATTTTCACTTCCTCACTCCACAGTCTCTCACTGAAAATACCCCTGGACAGATCGTCCGCTCGGTTATTCTTAGATGTAACACGTCTCTGCTTAACGTTACACCCTAGCCTGGTCAACAATCTCTGTATTTCTTTCCACTCCCCGTTTACTCTTGCGTCCTTGGATTTCCTCTTTTTTATCGCGGATTCCGTAGTGGTGTTATTGGTCTCAACCCAAAAGGTACGTCCCCTCACTGGAATCACTTGAGCTAATACCAGAAGTCCTAACCTGATTGCCACCGTTTCGGCCCAGGCAATGTTCCTCTTCCCCACTGTCAGGCCTTTCACCAGCCACTCCTTGTCCCACTTCGAAACAGGCCCATTTCGAGCCCACCTACACTCCAATCCTGTAGCCAAATCGTCAGTCTAGTGGTCTTCTTCGGGATAATCAGCTACCACTCACCCGTACGACGACGACGCGTCCCCGACCCAGCCCACTTCCTCTGGCTCTGGGTCCGTCACGAGCCTACACGACTCAAAGGTTTCTAAGCAAACCTCCCACTCGGCCAGGTCTTCCAATACGTCCTCCGGTACTTTCCTCACTGCCTCCAGGTTATGCCATGTCTTCAACCAACGGTAGATCAAGCACAAGTAAGCCGCCATGTGCGGTACTAAACACACGGTGTGGTTAAGTCTACCCAGGAATCTCTCGACTCTATCGAACTTCCACACCGCCCCCTCCTCCAGGTATGCCTTCACCTGGGTTAAGCGTTCATCCAGCTTTGCTTGAGGGAGTCTCACCGTATGGTCTTTACAGTTCCAAACGAATCCTAGAAACTTTTGCTCTGTAGCAAAGTCTTGGTTCTTCGCCCTATTCGTCTTGACGCCTAGTCCGTTACTCAGGTGAGTTACATCCTCTAGTGACACTTTATCCCCTGGTCTCCTTAATATAAGATTGTCGTCTACCCACCTAAAGATCATGGGAATATTCAACAGTTTCATCATTATCGATTTCCACGTTTCTGCGGGCGCTCCGAACACTCCACAGCTGGCCACCCCGCCGAATCCCACTGCCAAATCGATCCAAACTCTACCCTCGAAGTCCCTGATGCAGAGGTACCGACGTTGGGAAGGGTGGTTGTGGAGTTGCCGATAGGCCTTCTCCCAATCGAACAAAGCTGCCTCCCATTCGCCAGGGTTTTCTTTGAAGAATTTCACAACTAGCTTAAAGTCATCCCAATTGGTACTATAGTTCTTCTTATCGACAAACGAGTTCACCGACGGCACTTTCGGTTCTGATGAAGCTAAGTCGTCTTCTTTCTCCCCCTTCTTCCCCTTCCTCCTTCCTTTCCGCTTCCTATCTTTTGGGTACGATAAGTCATTTATCAACCGTACTGATCCATCCCCGTTTATCGCACTCCCCATCGGATTAGTCCGGAAGAAACCGAATTTGCTGTACACCTCTTCGTGCGTAAAAGGACCAACGATACACCCCGCTCGAGCCTCCTTCGCTAAAGTGTTATTTATCTGATCTTTCACGTACAGAGCGGAACCATGATTAGGAGGCGAGAACCAACGGAGGCCTTCTATTTCGTGCTGAGGTATGCCCAAGCAAAACCCCTCTTTGAACCCTTCAATGATATACTTAATATTGTCCTCTAAACCAACCTCTCTCATCAGCAGTTCCCACTCGCTGACGTTCATCTCAGTCTGCACAGGTCCCGGCCAGTCGTCCAAGACTTCTGCCTTGTATGTTTTGCGTTCACTCAGTGGAAGGACTCCTTTCCTCTTTTCCTCCACTTCTGATTCAAACGAACTCGAGTGCTCTGAGGAATGATCCTCGCGGTGTCTCTCTGAAGGAAGATTTTCTTCTCTGTCACGTCTCGTGGCACTCCTGTCCACAGGAATCATCTCATCGCTACCTGGTTCCACAGCCAATAGAGGCATTCGTCATTTCTCATGTTCACTTCAACAACTTCTCATCTTAACTACAAAGTATCATGCACATCAACCAATTCAAATTGACAAGCAAGCAACCAAGAGAAGGCACCCGATTCAACCACACAGTTTTAAGCCAAGTCGAATCACCAGATTTGGGTCCAGGTCCCATCCCAGGAGTGAGAAGCAAATGGTAACCATCAGTTCTATCCTACTCCTTCTCAGCTCTCCTACTCAACTCACCGTTCTGATTGGCCCGGACCTTTGGGGGGTTTTTTCCCGCCTTTCCCAGAGCCAGATCCCGAGCCAGACGCCACTGTGCTCGCGTGCTGTTGGCCAGAGGCAACCCAGTCTTTCCCCGAGTTCCCTTCTCTTCTAGCGAACTGGTTCGACTGATGGGCATAGGGTTTGGAGTACCCTTGGTAGTGACCACGGTTACCTCCCTGTCTCTTCTTAGGTCCTCTCTCACCCCCTCTCCCGTTGTCCAGCGAGTCATCCAATGCCGCTCTATTCTTGGACTTCAAGCTCTGCTCCTTTTCTTGGCCCGTGACAAAGTCGTACCCAAATTTCGGCTGACCGACTGCGTAAGGGTTGCCCTTGTACTTCAGATCACCCGCCGTTTGGGCGTCCCATCGGGCATTGTCTTCGGCTTGCGTCTGGAGGCCGTCAGGTAATATCACCTCATCCACCTTCTTCTTCTTCTTCCCATCTCTTCCCTTCTCATAAGTTGTTGACGAGCGCACCCTGAATGTCACAGCTCGCACCGCCAGATGATATCGCAATCCGACCATCCAACACTTATGCTTCCTTGCTAGCATGCTTACTATCGCCTTGTGCTTTTCGACATAAACGGCGTAGTCCTCGTATTTGTACCTCTCAGCAGCATACCGGTACTCCAGATCACACGCAAGAATGAACTCGCCATAGGTCATCTTCCGCTCGAGTTGTTCGCGCGATTGAGGGCTAGTGTCCCACTTGAGCTTCCCTCCCTTCGTCTTGCACGCCGCTTTATACACATCTATGTACGTTGCATCAAACACCGTTAGGGGCACATAGTACTTCATCCTCCTGAAGTTCTTCTCCCACTGGATAGGTAAGTCTGGGAGAATCAAGGCTGAAATCTTCTTGAACGCAAACTTGATTGGCTTCTGTTCCTTCTCCTCTACACTCGAAGCCGTGTCTGAATCCGAGTCGTTGCCATCCGAAGATTCTTGACTCGATGACGAGAATGAGTCTCTTGAATCCGAGCCTCCAGACCCTAGCGAAGACGAATCAGAAGAGTCCCCCGATCCTTCACTTGACGACGAACGTCTCCTCTTCTTACCAGACCTCTTTCCTTTCTTCTTGTTGGTCTTCCTCTCTTTCCTCTTCCCCCTTTTTTCCTTCCTCTTCCCTTTCTCCTTTTCCTTCTCTTTCCCTTTCACCACTATCCCCTCCTTTTCTTTCCCGCCTCATACGCGTCAATGTCCTCCCTTAAGGCTTTTCACCCCAAGCTAAATCGCCCAAGTGGATGGCGTCTACCAGCCTATCAGTCAACGACTTCTGGCGATTCGCCCTATCCGGGCTTGACTTCCGAACAGGTCCCTTCTTCTCGACCGGGTACGGAACTAATCGAACATTCACAACCCCACAAGTCAGTGATCAATCTCACTCAGCTACTACGACTGGATCGGAGCTCAGTTTCCCCCCTGCTACTACACACTTGGAGCAAATTAGGGAAACCCGGGATGCCCTTCAGGCCCTTTGGCTGGAGCGTCCTTGCCGCTACGACAGCTATATCCTCCCCATTCCTACGCTTCCCAACAGAAGAAGGAACCGCGGTACTCACCTTGGTCTTTCTCCACTAGTGAGCCAAACAGCTCTCTCTTCTCTACCCCTTCCTCTTGTCTTTCGTTTGAGGATACTGATGACAATTTCTTCCTCATCTTCTCTTTCTCCTCCTTACTTCGTTTCTTCGGTCTCTTCTTTACATCCTTCTCATCCGCCTCTAGCTCCGAAGAATCTGACGTAACAACTTCTCCTTTCTCCTCGACCGGAGCCTCTCGAATTCCTTCTCCTCCACCGGACCCTGATTGGCCTCTGACCTCCTCTTCTCCAACCACTTCCTCCTCAATTTGTCCAGCTACTACTCCTTCTCCTCTGCCGTCTCCTTGGCCGTCTGCTGGGTTATGGCGGGCCGAAAGCCTAGACTCCGCTCGCTTATTCCTTCCTTCCGCTTGCTCTTGCTCTTGTGCCTTCGCTTCCTCGGCTATCTTCTTCTCTTCTGCACTTCGAATCGCTTGCAACATCCTATCAGACTTGTAATTTAACGAGTTGGATTTCACTTTAAGTTTTCTCCACATCCAATGTCCTGAACTAAATGACCGAACTTCTACCGTGCCACTTGAGGTGTTCTGAAAGGACTGTTACAGTGTGAGAGTAGTGCTGTTAAGTAGGTTCGAATAACTGGATAAGAGATATTAAAAAGCTTTGAGATCTGAGAGTGAGATCTCCAGAGTGCGAATAGGCAGAGGAATTGTGTGGTGGGATGTGGAGATGAAAACTTTGTTCATCTCTGTCCACCACCCATTTCTCTCTCGGCTTGTGTGACATGTCTGCTCTACCTGTCACCTCCGAGCCTGATGCCTATTCGCGCCTGTCGCTTATCCACTCTACTGATATGGAATTACGTGTACCTCCGCAAGCTCTGGGAACACAAGCAATTAAATCTAAATCAGACTGGCTTGGTCTTTTTTTGTGCAACTTTGAAATGTCCAGTCAACTTTGTTAAAAAAGGATTTTTGTCATCATAGAAGATGACTCGAGAAAAGAATAGTTTGTGATTTTTGAGTTTGAAGA